TCTATATAGATTTCTAGTTCGACTAACTTGTCCTATCTACTAGCTAGAAACTAGCTATCTAACTAGAGCTATAGTCGAATAGTCGAACTTATTACGTAGTTCTTCTTATAGAGTTCGACTACTAGCTTCTTCTATTAGTCGAATATATAATACGTAACGTACCTCGCTATATATATAGAGTCTCTCTTCTACTTTACTAGCTAGGAATTCTCGAAGTAGTCTTACTCCTACTTCGATCTATAATAACTAGCTATTCTTAGGCGTACTAACTCGTAGTTAGAGCGACCCGGGGCTAGTCGCTCTTATAAGGGCCTCGAGTAGGCTCTATCGTAATATAATCGTAATACTATGTCTCTACGTATCTCGAACTTATAGCTATTGTCTTATATCGTGTGTTCGAAGATTATGTTAGGTACATGTACGAGTAAAGCGAATATAGTACGTCTTTTTATTCTCTACCTTATACTCTTGTATTAGCTCCTCTCTCTATACTATACCCTATCTCGTCGAGTGCGAGTAGTAGTGACTCTACTAACACTACTACTGTTCGTACGACGGGAAATGATACGGTCGTGTGGAATGCGTGGAAGCTTGCCTTTCCTCGCAGCCTTAGATGGCCGCTCAACCTTTATGGTGTCCTCGTCGTCTTCATCTCCGTTGTCTAAGTGCTCGTTCTGTTCAGCGCTGCTGTGGTAATCCTCTGCTGTGTCGGACTTGACCTGGATCTCCTCGTCCTCCATGTCCGCCATGTCCTCCCTAGCAGCAATGTCTGCATGTGCATTTTGCTTGTCCGCTTCTTTAGTCCAAGGAGCAAAACTGTTAGGCTTCCTCTTCTCGGTCGTCTTCGGCTTCGCGCTGTGCGCTATCCTGTCCGTTCGAGCTGTTACGACCGGTGTCGAGCGCGTGCCACGAAGTGCGCGGTGGGCTTGCTCGCCGGCGGTGGTAGTGGAGACTGTCGAAGGTGGTGTCGTGGGCTTTTCTACTCGATCCTAAGCATGGAATTCGCTTGTCATGACACTCGTCGCATTGGCTTGCTCACCACCACAGAGAAGCGCAGGTTGCGACGCAAGTTTTCCAGCTGCTGCCGCCTCTTGTGCTAACGTCTTGCTAGCCGGGCTTCCCTCGAGAGAGCGTGAGAGGCCAGGTGCGCCGGACCTCCTTTGTAAGATATGTTTGGAGTATGTCCTGGGCGCTGTGGGCTTTCTCTTTTTCGTCGGAACCCCTGAGTTTTCCTGCAAAGAAGATTGCATTGCAAATGCGGCTTTGTGGGCTGGCAGCTTGACCACGATGTTGTCGGAGTCGTGCTCGTTATCTGGCGGATAATCGTTGTTGTCGGATCTAGGCAGCGACGGGTCAGTTATAGTCATGGCGGGCCAGCGCGGGCGTGTTCGCGGTCGCTACAGTGTCGGTCTTGCGATTGTTCCAGCTGTGCGATGCTCTTGAAGTTGCGAGCGAAATGTGTCGTATGAATGCGCAAGTAAATAGAATAGTACTGGAGGAGTTTGTCTGGGGGAAGCGGAGTAGAAAGATTGCGCCCGGGGATGGAGCGAGCCGCGGGCCGATGGCCGAGTCGGCTGCCCTGGAGACCGCGACCGGCGAGATCCACCTCCGCACCTCCGACAATAACAACTCAGTCACACTGTCACTCACATTCACACCTCATCAGTTCATCGCCTCGTCGACTGCCCGCCAAATCTATCGAATGCGCATGAGCACACGCTCTTGTCTGGCGCTCCCGTCCGTATCATCCTATGTCCGCGCGATCGCGCTGCTTGGCGTGGCTGGCGCAAGTCGAACACTCTCACGGTAACCCATCCTCCCATCAGACGCCGCTCTTCGAACCCGAAACGGAGCGTGAGCTCTCGCCGCACGACAGCGCTTGGCTATCAGACGAGAACCGGCCGTTGGCACGTAAGAGAAAGCGGGCTACCGAGTTCGTGGACACTTCACGGGGATTCCCCGCCCAGCAACGCACAGCGCAGCTCGAAGGCATGGCGCAGCTGCATCCAGAAGACAACGACTCGACACCGACGCAGGCGAAGAGACGCAAGCGAAGAATGGGCGATGATGCGATATCCGACAGTGGAACAGGCGCAACGCAGGAAGAGGCGTCCTCGCAGAGGAGCACAAGCCCGGTGAAGCAGATCAACAGGCTGTATTCACTCGAGACACCCGTCGTCGATGCAATGTTCTCGGACGAGCTAATCGAAACTCTGCCACCGGATATGCGCGATCTGTTTGCTGAGCTGGAAAGGTGTCAGAGACTGCGGACCACTGTGCCTGCGCAATTCAAACCCATTCTCCGTGAGGCACACCCCATGCGAAGCATCTGGAGAGAAGAGAATATTTGGAAGGAAGACAACACCTCGGAGACCCCCACACTCGATGAGATGATATCTGTTGCCAGGGAAGCCAGCGAGTTGGCTATGTACAACGAATTGGAAGCCAGTTGGAACTCACAATGCCATGGTCCGCTTCTTGTACTTGCCCGCAGATTGTGTCGCCACCGCGACCACATTCGCGTTGCCAACATCACCAGCGCCAGACCGCATCGTCGCCTGATACCCTCCGTTCCAGCAGGCGGCAAAATGGTCGATTTCGGGATACTGCTCAGACCCCAGGACGGCGATGCATTGTCTCGAGCGTACACGACCTGCATTCTCCCAGAAGACGATGGCGTCTGCCATTTCAATCACTCTTCCTCGCAACAGATTGCGCGCAACCCGTTGGCCATCAGCATCGAGACCAAACGTGCAGATACAGGGGGAGACTCTGCGAAGCTGCAATTGCGCCTCTGGGCCGCAACACAAATGAAGTGGCTTGCAGAGGTTCGTCGCATTTCTGTCGTGATGGCACCCCATAAGGTCTTTCTTCCGCTCTTGGTTGCTATTGGAAGTCGATGGCACTGGTTCTTTGCTGCAGGCGAGTTCGATGCGCAGACGGGAGCGCTGCAGCGCACTGTGGTCTACGAACAGCAATTTATCGGGGATGTTGGGAAACTGGAGGGTGCATTTGCTGTTTTGGAGGCGCTTATCGCACTTATGGATTGGATGCAGAACTCCTGGAGACCTTGGTTGGAAACGTGGCTCGGTGTTGGGCGACACTAAGGAGCTTCGGCACTTCCAGTGTACCTAGTAACATAATTAATCTCTTCGACAATCTGTTAGCTGTAATCGTTCTTCGTATTATACCGTGGTAGACATTATTAAGGTGGGCACTGGGGACAGCAGAACGGTAAGATCGTGCTACCTATCCTCTACCAATTTTTTACCGTTTTGCTTTCCGGAGGAAGACCATGTCTAGAATTTTGGACAAGACTGGAGCGGGCCGCGGCCCGCGCCATCCGCTCGGATCTCGGCGACTCCCCCTCAAACTCCGCTGCGGGATACTAGAGATGAAAACATTACAAACGCACGCCACGCCAGTGACAACATTCGGCTTTTCCACATCGCTTGCATCAGCGCTTGGTACGAGCAGATATAGCAGCTGTAGCGTCTTTTGCGGCTTCTTGCAGGATTGGGATCCGGGCACCGCCGACGCGACGATCGGTAGCGAGTTTCAGCCAAGTTTACTCTCTACAGAATTCACATCTTGTGACCATCCGAGGTGGCGGAAAAGAGATCAGGCACACGAATACACGCAGAGTGTTCTCTTGCCCACAGTCTGTCTCTGTGAGAGATCTTGGATACCGCGCGCGTGATTCGCGAATCTGCCGCCGGGCGCAAAGTAGCCCACTTGCTCTCCTCACAGGGTAGCGCCTTCCTCCACTGTGTCTCCAGCCACCCGAGCTGAACCGGCGCTTTTACTCAAATCATGCCTTGGGAGGATAACATCCAGTACAGCATGGCGGCTATTATGGCGCGAAAGAAGGCCGAGAAGCTGCAGAACGCGAGGCCGCCGTCTCCAACAAATCGCGATCCCGCAACGACATCTGGCGCAGCAGATGACGACGACCCCGACAGAGCCTATCTACGAACAGTCACGCGCGAGACATGCCAGCAGCTGCGGAAGAACGTCACCAATGCCGAAGAAGTTCTCGAGCGCTTTCGAGCCGCCTGCGCCTCTGCGCTTCACTTTGACGAGTTCGACGAGACCGACGACACTAGCGAGACCGGCGAAGGCGGTTTTCCCGACGAATACCTCCAAGACAGCAAGACGCTCCTACACAAGCTGGTACCCAATGCCGAAGACCAGAAACGGATCGCAGACGCTCTTTGGGACAGACTGTCGGAGAAGAAATGGAGCACAGCAAGGCACGTACCAATGAAGGCTCCGAACAAGAAAGAAGCGACAACACAGGACAAGCCCGCGGCTCAGGCCAAAGCCAGGTCAAACCTGAAACTCTTGGGTAAATCTCCATGGCAAATGGGCATCGTCGAGACGTATGCGCTTTTCGGCGATCAGTACATGCAATGGAGCTTTGTCAATTGGCTGAGGCAGCTCGCGGACGCTCAGCCGAATCTTCACACCGCAATGACTGTTGTGTGGCAGAATCGCTGCGATAGGAGACATTCCAAGTTGACTAGGAAGAGCAATGCTTCCAAGATAACGGAGTGGCACAACCTTGATCTCAAGCTTGCGATTGATGAATTTCTAGAAGCGAAGCGTTCGGGCGAAGATGACTTGTCGCCAGCAGAGGGTGGAGATGAAGACAGGCGGGAAGAAGAACCCAATAGAGAAGAGCCCAATGGAGAAGAGCCTTCCGGAGACGAGCCTGGCGGAGACGAGCCTCGCGAAGACGAGTCCAACGGAAACGAGCCTAGCGAAGACGAGTCCAGCGAAGACGAGTTTAGCGAAGATAAGCCCAGCGAAGACAAGCCCAGCGAAGACAAGCCCAGCGAAGACAAGCCCAGCGAAGGCGAGCCCCGTCGAGATGAGCCCAGTCAGGATGACTACAGCAAGACTGGGAGCTCACGTGATTCGATTGGAGAGGGAGTCGACACCAGTGGGAGCCTCTCATCTGGTGTCAGTCCCGAGCAGGCACGCAGACACCGTATGTCCAGCAACCTCGACCTCTCTTCCTTCAATAATTTCAGCCAATTCGAAGGAGGAAGTGCACAGGGGGAAGACGACGGATTCCAGACATCTTTCGGCGACGGTACAGAAGACGATGAGCAGACTGTAATGGGGCCTCCAGATGCACAGGATACATTCACCGACCCCGCATTGGACGCAAGCACAAGCGAGCCGATAACAAGCCATGTCCAAAATGATGGGCATAAGAATGCGGAATTAACGACAGCGTCAAAAAACATTCAGAATGATGGACATGAGAATACCAACTCTACGACATCTTCGACGCAAGCTGAGCATCACGCGCACAATAGTACTCAGTACACATCTTCGAGTGCTCACGATCGCCCCGCGTCCTCTGGTCGCAGCAAGCTCGGCCCGCCTCCCGCCCGCGGCCAGCAAGCACGTGCCGCTTCTGACGACTTCCAATTCTTTCGGCGTCTTGTACCACCTCTCAGGAACCTCAACACACCCAAAACACCGACACCTGCATTTGCACCTGCATTCCCACCCGCACCTGCGCCTGCCTCGATTTCATACACGCTCAGCACTCCAAAGACGACCACAACACCCAAGCGCGGGCTCGCCTCCCCGAAGATGACCGCCAAACCCGCCAGCAAACGCGCGCGTCCGAGCTACGATGAAGATTGCGACGGCGACGAGCTTCACATGATGCTACCTTCGACGTTCTCTCCAGAGCAGGCGGCAACGCTGATCAAAATGTGGTTCTCCATGTTCAAGACGCAAGATCAGCTTCAAACCGAGCAAGGCCTGCTGGCGATTCGCCAGGCATGCACCACCCATACCTGCCACGCCTTCAGCTTCAACCCATCGAGCAAGGACCAGGACGACTCTGGAGGTCAGGAATATGGAGAAGAGAAGGACCAGTCACATGCAGTCGAGTGGGCGCTTGCAGTTTTGGACACCAAAAACGGCCGGGCCACGGTCTTCTCTCGCTCCTCAGCGGATGACTGGCTATCTTACCTTCGCAAGATCGACCCCAGTATCGCTGAAGAGACCGAGGTCGAGACCAAGGAGTTTCCGCCGGCCATTGATGAGCAAAAGTACAATGGACTCAGCACAGTGATCGCAGTAGCTGCACTCGGATCACATTTCGCATGCGGTGAGGAGGCGCCCGAACAGCTCGTCTGTGCAGTATGGCTGCAGGCGTTGAGCTCCTGTGAAAATGCCGTCACCTCAACCGACGGAGCAGCACCACACTTCGACTTCTTGGCTCGCTTTAAGCAGACGCAGAAGGATGCCGATATTTTGCCCCACATGTCACCGAGCCAGATCGTCAAATACCGCACCTCCATCTCGTCAGATTCATCGTCAACTGTTCTCAAAACTCCCACCTCCTCGCCTGTCGTTGAAGAAGCGATCGCCCAGGACTTCAAACACCTCGCACTCAGCCGTTCGAAAGTCGAGCATATCAAGACGTGCTTGGCTGAGAGCGAAAACATTCGCAAGCTCATCAGCGGCATGTATCACAGCGTGTCGCAACTGCGGATCAATACCAACGCTCCGGACAAGATGAACGACAAGAGCGTCTCGGATCTTCACAAGAACATTGCGCAGCTCCAGGACACGTTGCAGATCGTGAGTGCTGAGACGCTACGTCAACAGCTGCGGGACGAGATCAAGACCTCTCAAGAGGCCCTCTCGCAAATGCAAGGACAGGCAAGCCGCCAGACGCTCCAGTCTGTTCGAAAAGCCGTCAAGAATCGACTCGGTGCAGCGAGGACGGATTACGAAGATGCTCTGGAGACGTGCCAGTGGGAGCTTTCCGTATTCGCCAAGGGGATGCACGATAGTATGGTGGAAGGACTTCGGAAGCTTCAAGAGTTGCAATAATGGAATGCGTAGTGGGCGTGATGGAGTCGATGTCAACGAGTTGGCGAGGATATATCAATGGGTGGAATAGCTTGGCATGTATGATATGTCATGTATGAATGCAAAACCGCACAATCGTGTGTGTAATTAGAATTGATTCCCCCATGCCACATCCATACCCTCACCTCCCAGGTTGCCAGGTGTCCTCTGCTCTTGTACAGATTTGACTTCCGTTAAGCCACCGATCTTTGCTTTCACAATGCTCTCTGCCGTCTCTCGCTATACTAAACAAGTGTGCAACTTCCCGGAGCATCACCGACAAGCACCGCACCACTTCCGCTGGTCAACCTTGCCGTTACCCGGATAGAAGTCAACTTCGACAACTGCTTCGCGAGTTCCCTCCCTCCGCTGTATAGTGGAGTCATGAGGTTTTGAACATGGAACCCCGCATCGACTGCGGAGAAGAAAGGAGGAGCGCGTTGTTTCCCCGTCGGCAATTTCTGGCTGCGGCACTGTCTTGACTCTACAAAAGTATTGAGAGAGTGCTTATGTTCGCATCTTCAATGGCGGAGGTAGCGTGAGAGAAAGGCGCCATCGTTGCACTCGGCGCCATCGTCGCACTCACTGCAGGGTCCAGGGAGTTGGGTGTGAGCTCGGTCGAGTCACCGGTCATATCTGACCAACATCTCTATCTTTATTACATTCTCAGAGCTGTGAGGAAAGAAAGTGCTTCTTGCTGCCGCTCGGAAAAGCCTCCACCACCCAAGACATTTCCGTGCTGAATGTCACGATCTTCGAAACCTCCATCAAGCAAGTGAACAACCTCTCGCGCTGCGCGCACATGAGACCTCGTCGAAGATACCCACAAGTAGTGTCAGAGATGTTGATTTGAGCTGCAGATTGCAGGCAGACAATGAAGAGTGCGACCGCCAGGGCGTGTGAAACCAGATGGCGGGCCTTCAAGATCGGTTATTGGCAACACCCCAGGACCACTCCCGTCACAAGGGCAACGGTCTCCACGAAGAGGGGAGCAGCCTTCGTGTCAGTCAGTGTTATTGCTCTTGATGATGCGCTCTACAGAGTCAGCGCTCAGCCTGTCCCATTTGGTGTACGGCATTGTAAGCGGAAGATCTGTCCAGCGCATCACGAGATTGGGAAGGATGCCGGCCATGTATTATGGTGTGACAAGGTAACTTGATATCCGGCGAGTGCAATGTCGGAACAGGGTCTGAGAAGCTGGTCGGTCAAGTCTCCACTTTGCGTGGCATAATACACATCACATGCGCCGTACCCACCTTCGCAGAATGCTCGTTAACAATGCACTGCAAGTACAGGAGAGCTGTAGTAGGTCAGCTTCGCAATTGAATGAAACGGAACGTGGTTTTGGACGACAGACAGACTACTACCCCATACCATGAGCCGCCGACGACAGCGGTCTCGGCCATGGATAAGGAGTCGTTGTGTCTGGAGTCAGTTTGGAGAAGCTTATCCGTGAGCTGGCACACTCAAAGCGGGAAGATGTAGCAGATGCGTCAGAAATGAGGTATTACTTGTATTCGATATTCGATCTCAAGCATCGCTGCACATCCTGTAGAGGGAGGGCGGCGGAATGATATTTGAGGTCACCGGCGCTGCTCCCGTGATTGCCTTGACAAGCGTCGAACTCGGAGCAAATAGGCTTGTAGCTAAGAGGCTGCATATGTACACCGCGCTGGATTGACATGACTACTACTGGCGCTGAAGTGAGAATTTGAGTCCTCCGTCGTCGGGTTCGAGTCGATTACGAGGTCTTGTAAGCCGTGACCCTTTGAAGTTGTCTTGGAGTTCGTGAATGGTTCTGCAGTCCGACGATAATTCACAGGCCACAACAGTAGCATTCAAGTCGACTGGAACCAGTATTTCTCTCCTGGAGCCTGTGATGTGTGAGCCCGCCCGCACACTAGCATTCTTTCCGACAGTATGTCATCTCAGCGGCGCATATCATTGACGGAATACCTTCTTGGTCTTGTCCTCGGAAAGGTCGACGAGAATCTTTCCTCCTGATGCGTGGACGACGTAGCTCTGAAGCCTCTGATCGAATGAAAGCCCAGTCGGATGCATTTGGAAGATGCGGTTGGTTGCACAGTACAATGATAACAATATACAGTCGGTGCTGCCCCGATGCTTGCTCGCTGAATGCCATTGTATGCTCGCTCCTCGTCTGATTCTACGCACTACAGCTCTTCCATGCACCCACAACGTCCTATTCATTGGCTGTACCACGAGTCGCCCATCTACAATGACTCACCTACACCCCATGTCGTACCGCTGTACCCCACGGCAACAGCAAAGCAAACCATACACATGATCACAGCCTGAAAAGTATCCGAAAGACCTCGCTGCTATGGTTGGGCAGATCATTGCGTGGAAAGCGAGTGCTACAGTGGCAGCGCTTTTGACCGTCCAGCTGGCGAGCACTTGTGTATCCGATTATTATGTCTACCTCACAATCCTTTTGTATCGCCGAGAATGATCGAGAAGGTCGAAATCTGTGCGGAACCTGCCGAGGACCGATCGCGCGATTTGCTGAGGAAAGCTGAGTCCTGACTGCCGGCATCAAGATAAGGGATCGGACAACGAAGCGGATACTGGCCGGCGTCACATGGCCGACGTTTGCACCGCCGAGACAATCGTAGGACCAGGGCGGAAGGTGCTCTCGTAGGAGATGTCCAGATGCCATGTGAGCATGCTGGGTCCGCGGAAGGGAGAGCTTGTGGCTATGCCGCTATAGCGGCAGGGGACGGCGGCGAGGAGGGCGGACTGGTGCCATCGAGTGCATCTGCGGGCGCAGCGGGCGCAAAGAAAGGACGTCGAGGCGAGGAGCAAGGCGGAATTGGCTGGCGTGAAGCTGGAGATTTTGTGAGTGACATAATGGGCGCCTTCGGCGCGTTCCGTCCCCGCATCACATGGCAGCCACCAGTAGATCATCCGGTCGATCACCCGGCAGGCTTCCTGCTCCGCAGAACGCCAAGTTGAGTGACGTGACAACTTTCAAATACTCTCGTCACACAAGAGGACATGATGGGCCAACATCTGGAGAGCAAAAGATCCTTCTTCTTGCTCCTCCATCTCCGCTCTCTGAGCGCATCAAGATCCAAAGCAGCAAGAAGCTTGGCTTCACCTCCGCGGGAGGTGTGGAGGCACTTAAGGGTGGAGGTTTGCTAGTAGTTCGTGATTGTGCTTGATAAGCGGAGCGGCGCTGATGGGGAGCATGACTTTGATGGATCGCTGGGTGTTGGTTACATTTGTTACTGGGCAGCCCAAAATCTGTCCCGAGGTTATCTGGGCTGCTCAATCCAGCTTTCTCTGGGGCCGCAGGCGCAACGCTCCACAGTTGGGCTGTGCAGGCAGTGATGACGTTCAGTGATAGGCCGATGACCGATAGCACTGATCATTTCAGATCCTTCGTGAGTCGTGACACGCTCCTGCAAGAGATCGGAGCAGATCAAAGCAAGCCGCCAAAGTACTCTTCCTGGCAGACGATGCTTCCGAATCCATCTCCACGAGAGCCGTGTCCAGACCTGCTAAACCTCCCTACACAGCGGAAAAGCTGGACTGTCAGGTTGTGTGTACTCATGTCCAATCCGCTGGACATGGCTCTTAACAGTGCATGGAAAATCCAGAACACGGTATTCTGAAACGATAAAAGGCATGCGCCGCTTGCACTTGTTGTCTTCCCGATCTGTAGATGCAGAGCGTTCAGAGACTGACTCTTTGGACACCAGTAAATACCCATTCATGCACCGGTCACATCGCCGAAATTTCGCCGTTTGTGCCTTTGGCTCGCCCGGAAGACCATGACTCCGATCTTCGAGCCCGTGGCTGCCATGTCCAGGATCTCGGACATCGCTACTTTCAATCCAGGGGTGTAAGAAGGTGGCCTCCACAGTTGCAAGCCGCCCTGTAAGAAAGACCATGACTTCGATACGAGCCTGTAGCTGCCATGTCCAGGACCGTGGACATGGTTACTTTGAATCTTGGGATGCAGAAAGGTGGTGTCCATCGTTGCAAGCCGCCCTGTAATGACTGCCTCCTACACCACCACGCCATGTGCATACAGAGAGTTCTATGCGAGATACTGTGGCTCGTCGAGCATATGAGCTGTTGCGGGACATCCGCAGACTCAGCTCCTCTCGCTTTGCAAGGCCCATCCACGCTTTCATCGCATCGACGAAACAGTCGACGTAACAATCCTCCAGTTCGAATCAATCCACAAACATACCGAGAACTTTTCAAGGTTGACGGCAAGGCGAGAAGCATTTGATTCCTCTTGTACGTGCACCGCTCCAGATGGAGAGCACTCGGCATACGTTCTCACTGTAGGTAGACCCTCACGCAAATAAGCATCTATCTCTGTGTACAGTTGCATTATAAATCAATACGGCCGAGCAAAGCTTCTACAGTCCGGCGCAGGCAAGCGTACATGAAGGCATATGCGTAGTCAGGAAGCACACACGGTATTTATGAAGGATTCACCGGGTGTCGAGACCTTGTATTGTAGACCCCAATTTCTGCCCAGCGCTCCAGTATATAGATCATACCTAGAGCTCAAATTTACCATTCCAATCGCCTTGAACGACATTACAGATAGACTTCAAAGCGCAGGTTGACGATGCTGCTTGTGGAAGCAATGGTCAAGAGGCCTCCCCATGTGCCTACAAGTTTAACACCGCTTATGTTCCACCACACAATTCAGATCCCGATTCCCGGAACCGTGACTTGCGATCCACATCGCCTCAAGTTTCAACCGACAATGGATTCAGAAACGGGCCGATGCAAGTGCTTCGTGAATGACCATTGTGGCGCAATGCGAGTCCGGCAGGGAAGAGACCACGGCAGTGAGACTAGAGTGGTGAGACCGAGGCTCTTATCGGTCGCGGTGGGTGGGCATGAGTAGACAGCATTTTTCAAACAGCCTGATCGGCTGACAACTCGAGCCATGCAACTCCGTGTGGTGTTCCATGCATATTCAGTACATGCGT